CTACAGGGCTGGGACTGCAGCCCACCCACTGCAGGCAGGGACTGCTCCAGCCCCATGGGGCTTGCCATGGGGCATGGGTGCTCCAGCCTGGCCAGAGCAGCCCCTGTGTGCGATGGGCCCAGCCCAGGAGCATGGCAGGCAGGGAGGGTTAATTGGTTTAATTGGTTAATTGCTTAAACAGTATATTTAACTGGTTAACCAATTAAATGGATTTTACATCCCTAGCTGGAATGAGGAAGAATCTCAGGAATCCATGAACATACTACTGTTCTGCAAAGCACTATAGCTGAATGAATTGCAAACAGCACTGGTATTCGATCCTCTAGACACAGTGGACCACCGATTGCGGAGTTGTGAGACAAGCACAGACCAATGGCAGTACACTGCGATGTAGGTATGGGACAATCAACAGTGCCTTCAAAACTTTCACATGCGTAAATCCACTTTCATGGAATGCTGCAAATTGCTTTCCCCCTCCCTGAAGCTCAAGAATACCAGAATGAGGCTTGTTCTAACAGTGAAGAAGCGAGTGGCCATAGCCCTGTGAAAGCTTGCAATGCCAGATAGCTGTCAATCAGTTGGGAATCAGTTTAGAGTGGTGAAATGTACAGTGGGGGATGTGTGATCCTAGTAGCCAAGGAAATCAAACCAGGTACTTCTAGATGGTGCTGCAGGGGCTGGTAGGTCACAAGGACTGTTTCACTAACATCAACGTGAGATCGTCGGGAAAGGTGCATGATATGCACATCTTTAGGAACTCCTGCCTGTTCGGCAAGCTATAATCTGGAACGCTTTTCCCTGATCAGAAAATTACAAGTGGAGACATTGAAATGCCAATATTGACCATTGCAGATCCAGCCTACCCCTTGCCTCCATGGCTCATGAAGCTGTACACAGGCAGTCTGGACCACAATCAGGAGCAGCTCACTACAGCTGAGTAAATGCAGAAAGGCTGTTAAATGTGCTTTTAAAGGGAAAGTTCCAGTCTGCTAACTAGGTTAGAACATTCCCACTGTAGTGAAAGCCTGCTGTGTGTTCCATAATATTTGTGAGAACAAGGGGGAAATGTATCTGTCTGGGTGAAATGCTGAGGCACAGTGTTTGGCCAGGGATTTTGAGCAGCCAGACACCAGGGCAATAAGGAGAGCACAGCATGGGGCAGTGCTAATCAGAGATACTTTGAAAGATAGTTGTATGAACGGCCAGTTTGAGAGCAACATGCATGACTCTCAAACAAGGTGCCCTTATATTCAGTGTACTTGCCTGTAATGTTGCCTCCTCTCCCAGGAGCCCTTAAATGCATGGGGAATGGGAGTCCAGGGTGGCCTCACACCCAGTCCCCAGGGATGCATCACAAAACAAATGGCTGTCCTCATAATTATGAGCACTCCCTCTCCCCAAAAGCTCCTGCCCTAGACTCCTGTTCTGTCACTGCTCTGTCCTCCTTAATAAAAATGAATAATTTGTGAACAACAGTCTCTCTACTTCTTGTATTATCCATTTAAACCAATAGAGTTACTCTGGATCTGTACTATTGTGGCTAACAGCAGATCCTTGATCTTTCATATTTAATTTCTCTATTCCTTTGTTGTGTGCATGGGATTTCCATTAATACTTCAAGGGAAAATGGGCCCCTCAGTTGGGCCAAATCCTTACGTTTTTATTCAGACAAAATGTTGCCAAAATCATTGGAATTATTGCATAAATAAGGGTAGAGTAGAAGCTGAATAAAAACTTTTATCTGAAACTGCTAGCAGTGCTGCAGGAAAATATCTGGAGAGTCTTGAATTATGTATTTAAGTTTTAGTGGCAAACTAGGCTTAGTGTTGTGACTTATTTTCCTCGTTTTAAAAGGCTAACAACTAAATTTGCTGGTCCTGTTCTGCTTTCTGATGTTGTTACAGTAGACTTCCGATAATCTGGAACCTTTGGGACCTAGGTGGTGCTGGATTATCGGATATGCCGGACTATCAGGAGGTACTATAAACTGGTTTTATATATATACTGTATACAGTATAACTGTATATAAAGTGTTTTTAACCCTTTTTATTGTACATACTGTATACAGTATACTGTAATGTTTTAGTTTTTTAACCCTTTTCGCTCGGTTCAGCTGATGCCGCTGCTGTTTTGTGACTCGTTTTTTGCCGAAGCTCACTCACTAGGCTCTTGCCATTTTGATGCCGGACTGTCGGAAGTGCCGTACGATTGGATGCCGGACTATTGGAGTTTTACTGTAAATAGTGAGTTTAGATACTTGGATCTATTCCTGAGGTTCCAGGAATGGTGATTTTTTCCCCCCTCTTTTTGTTTTGTTTTTGTTTTAATTTCAAAACAATTTTTTTTTAATTATAGAAGGTGAGAGGCAGGGAACTGAATGGTAATGTCAAGAATTTTGATCAGTTTACTTGTTCTTCTTGCCACTGTTCTGTTCAGACTGGTGATAACTTCACCTGCACAGCTAAGAGGAGTGCCTCTGCTTCCTCTGGTAATATCACAAAGTTGCCATATGAGGAGTTTTGTCTGCTCTGTGTTTCAGTAGGAAGACCTGAAAAAGGTAACTAGAAAAGATTTTGTTCCTCATCTCATAATACAACCAATAGACATCATTGTCACTAGGGTCAGCTAGATTTGATGGTTCATTAGAGGCTATATTTTTGTGTTCAAATGTAGTAATGTTTGAGCTGCTTTCTGTATTAAGCAAGTGGTGATTTCATATCTCTATGACCTACGTGGGCCTCCATTACCAGAATAACTGAATGCCTCTCAAATATTTTAAAATAAAAGTCTCTCTCTCTCTCTTTCTTCACAGTGTAATAAGAGCGTAATAGCCTTATAGTTTTTCTGTTTGCATTGTGCTATATTGTGTATTTCTCTGTGTGAATAACTTTTTGGGGAAAAGCTAATCTGAGAAATGAATTTTGTATTTAGGTGTGGATGTGTTTTGTCCTAACCTCTTGCAGGAAGATTCATAGTTGAGGTCCAATTCTTATAAAAATTCTGTTTCCCAGACTTGCAAGCTTCTCCCTGTAGATTAAATACAGTAGTTTAATATTTTCACCTGACCATAGATGTAGTAGGAAGTCAGTCACGCAGGGAGAAGTTATCTCTCTGTACCAGTCCTATGGAGGATTTTGAAAATCTGGACACATTTTGAGGTAGTTTCTGTATTCATTGGGAAGCAAGTGGGAAAGTGGAACAATGGAGTGATGTATTCATGGCAGCTGGTGTAGTGCAGCTAAGCAGACTGGCATTTTATATCAGTAGGAGCTTTTTTCAGAATGTGCATTAACACTCCTAATTAAAAGTTCATAGATCTAAGTTCATAGATCACTACTGCATGGATCACCCTGGACAGAACTATATCCAATAGGTGTAAAACCAGTGTGATGGAGTGAAGAATCTGTCCCAGTTTATTGGGAGTACTAATTTAGAGTAGTAATTCCTGATACAAAAGAATTACCACCTAAAATACTCTACATCGGTTACTGTGGATTGGAGCCAGTATTTAATGAATGAGTTTAAAACACCCAGTGCTTCTGATTTTTATTGATTAAATTAATATTTATTAGCAAAAGCATGCCAAAAAATAAACACTAAGACCTTTAAACCATAATTACACCATGCAACACTGTTTTTTGAACCTTGGCCACCCACAAAACACATTATCTTCACAGTGATTATGATGCAAGCTGAGAAGGCAATGAGGAAATTAGTTGGTCTCTCTCTGTCATTAACAGTCAGATGAGAGAGGTGGTACAAAAATTTAGACTTGATATCTTCAGACTGGAACATGGGAAGTTACAGGCTTTGAATAAATTTAGTTTAATTTCAGTGTTGCCAACTTTCACAATTTTATTGTGAGTATTGTGATTTTTATTTATTTGGTTATTTTAATTAAAGCCCCAGCTAATGGAATCAAGAGCTTGCATCATAATCTTAGGTTTATTTTTTTAATATGTTTTCTGGCCCTCGGGACTGTGGTGGAAAGTGTATTGAAAACATTGACTGCACCCTAATGGCTCAGAAAGCCAGAGGCAAGAAAGAATCAGCATTAAAAAAGGATAAATCACACCATTTTGAGGGACCTAATCCATGATTTTTTGAACACTGGTATGGCAATGTTCTTACTCACCATATACACTGTATTCTTTACTAAAACCCTGAGTTGTCCCTTAGTATACAGCCATTCCCCGACTTACGAACACACCGACTTATGACCATCCGTACTTATGACTAACCTCCCATTAACCCCATTGTAATATTTTCAAGTTGAGACCACGTACATCATGTTTTTCGAACAGCGTGGGCAGCATGTTTAAGGGTATTTCCGACTTATGACCAAATCGAGTTACGTAACCCGTTCGTAAGTTGGGGACTGCCTGTAGTCTCATTGCTATCTATTTCACACATCTCTTGCTGTCTCCCCATCCCCATTCTTTTCTTTCTACATCTTTGAAGCCCTGAGTATCCCAACTGTATGTTTCCCATGCAGGAGTCCTCATCCTTTTTGTGGCATATAGCCACCTTTGTTCCCATGCAGTCTCTCTAGTTGCACTCTCTCAGTTACACCTATGGAGGTAGCAGAATTGAATCCACTATTAGCCTCCATATATAAAAAATGGAGCTTCATGTAAGAGATTCTAGAGCCAATATTCATGTTAGCATGACAGGTTGTTCATTTCTAATCTTCCTGACTTCTGCTTTATTCAGTAACTCTTAGGAGCAGAAAACTGACTTTTTTTGTTCTCTTCTTCTTAATACAGTTTGTGGCTGTGACTCTGACGTTCTCCATTTGGACCTGTGGCGGCAGGGAAAGCCTATGGAAAATCCAGAGAAAAGGACAGAGGTTGTTCTGCTGGCCTGTGGTTCTTTCAATCCAGTCACCAACATGCATCTAAGGCTCTTTGAGCTGGCTAAAGACTACTTGCATGAAACAGGTAGGAGTAATAGCTTAGCACAGTGTTTCTTAAACAGTCGGCGGTGTGCTGCAGAGAACAACAGAATTCAAAATGGCTGCCCTTAAAGGGGCAGGTGACCTTTTTTTTCATCAATAACTTTCCCCCCGACCCTTCTTGGTACCGATCCTTGGTGTTCCTCATAAAAAAAATTATTGTTTGGTGTTCCTTGGTCTTAAAAAGTTTAAGAAACACTGGTTTAGCATAACTCAAAATGTACAGCTCTGAGATGCATATAGTTGTGTGCTTAGGTGAGTGTGTATCTGCAGATATTTTGCTGTAACAGTATCTATATTTGGATACTGACTCTCAGGATGTACAGATGGGTATGAGTGGGTATGCATGATAATTAACCTAAGACAAGGAAGAGTGTCCAGAGTTGTAAGGAATATAGCACAGTAGCAGGATATATCTGTGGCAGTGGCCTCTCTCACCGTGTATCCCTGACCCTTCTTGTTTACAACAGACTAGTGATGGTCTACAACCCCAACTCTTAGGTCCAAGACTGAGGCCTCCTCGAGTCTGTGTAGTGGCTGGTCACTGTTCCTACTTCTGGGTGTCTCACACGAGCTCCCAGAAGTCAAACCTGTGTCTGACAGCCTTTGTGGTCAACGGGATCCTAAATTCTGGAATTAATGCCTCAGCCTTCCTGAGCCCTCAGGTTTTTAGATATATTTCCCCAGAGTCCACCTGATTGATGTAGCCCTGGTTTGTAATAAAAATCTTCAAGGACAATATGGCAGGTAATCAAGAAACACAGACTTAACAAAATAATTATTTAATCACAGATGCTTAACTCTCTAGCGCTTTCAAGAGTAACATATCTTTGAAAACTATATCTTGAGTGTATCCCCACCCCAAGTCTAATCGTATCCCTCCTGTGAGTCCTGGGTGTGGTCAGCATCCTTAAACGATGCATCTTTCATTGCCTTCTTTTGACTGGTCATATTGCATGTGCCAATGATCTAGCCTGTGGCACAGAAAAACACCCCTCTTTTAAAATGGTCTCTGTCTCCCTGTTGCATATGTGCTTCCGCTGGGTAAGTTCGAGATTATATCTTCTTCCACCATCCCTTGTCATTCAACTCCATGATTTTAATGATAGAAAAAACATTGTTCTACTAAGGAAGAGTCATTCAATGATGACTCTTTATTGCTCTGTCATAGCTTCTCGGACATAGTTATTCCAGTAGGTGTCAAGGCTCCTGCTACAAAATGGATGGTCCAGTCTACAAAGAAGGCTACTATCCAACGTGAAGGTGACACTTCAAAACAAATATTCTAATACAAAAGAGAGATCAGAAACAAAATGGGGTCCAAAAAGTGGAGGGTCTACAAAACAAAAGTCTTCAGTTTGATACAGACCTATCTTCAATCCCCAAACCCTGAAACTATCACTCCTACTCTTTGTAGTCTGTATTTTCCACTCTTGGCAGCATGATTCAAATTCTCTTTCATACTTGTGCTTCATACGTTGGCCATAATGCATAGAGCTTTTCCAGTTCGAGTGGCTTGGTTAACAAGGCTCTGTGGGAAAATGGTATTAATCTTTTTTTAAAGAGTACAATGAATGTGTATATGAAATACTTTTATGTACAATACGGTGAAAGTTGACATCTGCTCAGTAACATCTTATATTTTTGCATGGATGTGTTTGTCGTGCAGGAAAATACAAAGTAATCAAAGGGATCATTTCACCAGTGGGTGATGCCTATCAGAAGAAAAGTCTGATCAGTGCCAGTCACCGGGTAACCATGGCAAAACTTGCTACGGAAAGCTCAGATTGGGTGGAAGTTGATGACTGGGAAAGTAACCAGAATGAGTGGGTGGAGACACTCAAAGTTCTAAGGTACTGTATAGCCTCTCGCTGAAAAGACACATATTCCCTATAGTAGGATCAGGACAGGCATGATTTACATGACTGGGTAATTCAGCATTGCTTGAATAAATTCCATGGAAGTCAAAGGGACTGGTCATATGAGCAAGAGATTCTCACATAAATACGGACTGCGGGATCTATGCATAGATGCTGAGACTATGAGTAGTTTTAACATTTCCAAAGGCGTATCATTTACACACTTATTTTTTGACTACTTTTTTAGCATGGAAGAACTTGTGGGATTCATACGAGTGACTAGAGTTGAGAGTAGAGTGGGCCCGTGCTGCCCAAGCTTCCTTTACTGAGCTCTGTTAATGCAATGTGCTGCTCTGGTGTACCTTTAAAAGTAGTGTGAGAACTTCCTAATGAAATGCCTATTTTTCAATCCTTCTTCACCTCCATGAGACTCCTGCTTCCCATGATGCTCCATATCTGCCCTTCCTTTCCATATGGTTTGTGTCACTAACTCTGTCCAGTTTCTTCCTTTAAAAAATAAACTTATGTAATTGATTATGTTTCTAGCTTATGTTGGCAGTCATAGGACTTTAGATTAATGGAGATTGCCTATCTCCTAGAACTGGAAAGGTCATTGAGTCTAGTCCCCTGCCTTCACAGCAGGACCAAGTACCATCCCTGACAAATTTTTGCCCAAATCCCTAAATGGCCTCCGCAAGGCTTGAACTCACGATCCTGGGTTTAGCAGACCAATACTCAAACCACTGAGTTATCCCTCTCCCCAGGTATCACAGCCCATGGTCAGGGCAGTTCATAAGAGACTTCTATGAAAAACTCAGGGTCCTGCTGCAGAAGGAAGCAATGAAATATGATTCAGTAGGTGGGGCTTTTCCCTATGTTATTGCATACTTCTAATGCTCTTTAAAAATGTATTTATTTTGTAGATACCATCATCAGAAACTTGCATCTTCTACTCCTGCTAACAGTCTGCAGAGTACTGTACCTCTAGTAAAGCCAGGCCGAAAGAGAAAACGGGAAGCAAATCGTCACATCCCCATTAAAAAGAATCAGCTAAGTCCAGAAACAAAAAGTTGAGTATGTTTGTGAAAGAAAGTCTCATAACACACGCTATGTCCAGGCCATAAAGCTCTGTCAGTGAGAAGCATTTCTCTGATAATAGATCTAAGTTCTGACCTCCCCAATGAATAATATAAAGAAAATATAATACCTAGATTTTATGGCGCATATCAGTAGTCTCCTTTGTGATTATCAGACTGAAACAATCAGATCTTACAGTATTCCTTAGAATAACAGAAATGAGAACTGGAAAACGCCTATTTGGTCCACAGAGATTTGTCATGCTACAGCTGAAAGTTAAGGAATTGTGGGTAGAGCCCTGCAAATCTGCAGATATCTGGAAGCATCCATGACTCTGGCTATCCGCAGCTTATTTTTGAGGATATGGATGTGGATACAAATGTTATATCTAGAATCCTTAACATTTGTGTGTATCCGTAGGTACCCACATCCGCGGATGTCAGTGCGGATATCCACGGCTCATTTTTGCAGATACTGATGCGAATGCAAATTTTATATCCACGCAGGGTTCTAGACACTAGCTCTCTTTATTTAGTGCATCTAGAAATGGGAGGGGGATGTTAAATTGTAATTTAAAATACCATGAAAGCAGAGTAGCTTGATTTACAAATTCCAGCTAACATTCAGATTGACTATTACAACTACATCTTTGCTAAAAGTATCATTCCTCTTTTTTAACCTGAGTACCTACATGAACTAAGATCTCACTTGAACAGGCTTGCCAGTTATCTTAGTCTCTTGGGGCCACCCACCTTTTTTTTGTTTCAGCCAATGGGCCCCTCCTGCTTTCCACAATGGATTTTTTTCCCTCAGTGCGGATTTGGGATTCCTTAAAAATAATTAGCTATCCTAATTTTCCCTGAACAGATTTTACTAACACTAGCCACCTATGAAGGGCAGACAACTACTAAGCCAAACAAACTTTTGTTAGTGAAAGAGACAGGCTTTTGAGGTCCACAGACCTCTTCATCAGATCTTCAGCTCTGATCTTCTCTAACCTCTTGGAATGTATTATAAGACTTTAATAAAATTAAAATAAATTTTGTAGCTATTCCCCTTGAGCTCTCTCATCTTCAGTGGTTAATTGAGAGAGCAACATAACTTACACCAAGTAAATCCTTCATCACAAGGCCAATGTTAGAAACATTCCTTAGAATATATTTTCTAGTGCTTTGTGCTTCCTTTGGAGACTACTCTTTAGCTAGCTTAATAAATCTTGTAATCAGGATGTGTTTTCTAATACTCTGAGTATTCCTTTTCTTAATTTCACCCCAGCATATAGAGAGGTATCATAACAACCTTGCTAAGAAAGCAAATAACAGTTGCTAAAATTGAATCCTTGTTTATTCCCTTTTCCTAGGTGTTCCACAGCTGAAACTGCTCTGTGGATCTGACATCCTGGAGTCCTTTGGAATCCCGAACTTGTGGAAACTGGAAGACATCACTGAAATTTTGGCAAACCATGGCCTTGTGTGCATAACCAGAGCAGGAAACAGTGCACAGAAATTCATCTATGAATCTGATATGCTATGGCAACATAAAAATAATATTCACCTGGTAGAAGAGTGGATCACCAATGACATCTCTTCCACCAAAATCCGGAGAGCACTGAGGAGAGGACAGAGCATCCGTTACCTGGTACCTGATGCAGTCCGGGCTTACATTGAAAAACACAACCTGTACAGTCTAGAGAGTGAAGACAGGAATGCTGGGGTTAAACTGGCTCCTTTACAAAAATATGCTAGAGGGTGTAAGCAGGAACAGACGCAGTAATCTAGCCTGTTTTTATGCTGTGAAAAACCATAGACTTTATGTGGAAAGATGTTTTATCTGTTGTGGTAAATCAGGTTCTGATTCTGTAGCCCTTGTACATAAGCGAGTACCATTGCACTCAGTGGGAGATCTATGTGTACAGGGATTGTGCCTTCACAGCACAGGCCTTGTCTTAAAACAAACAAAAAAAAGTAAAAAAGAAAAGTATTTTTTAACCTCAGGTTAACTAATGTACATGAGTTACACAGTAACAAGGCACTTAGTTTAACCATATGATAAACTAGGCAAAGTCAGCTCTATTTACATCTCCTATTCTACCTCACAGTAAAACTATAGTACGTTATCTTCACAGTGTTTTTACTTTAGGGATAGTTGACACTCATTCGATATCCTGAAATTTAAGAATACATCTTTTTTAGCATCAAAGACATTGATTCCTCCGATGTCCTTTAACTTCAATTTGCACAACTGTAAATGGCAACGTAGGTGAAAAATGCTGCCATTCAGCTATGCTGCTGTTTTATACTCACTTTGCACATGAATGGCAACAAAAGATGTAAGGCAGTAGAAAAGCATGCCCTACAATTATGAATGTCAAGTGCTACAGCTTAAACCCCAAAATTGAGCATAATGAAACAAAATTGGTTTTACAAACTCTGTTACAGATACCCTTGACAAAAAACAAAAATCAAAGGGTTTTTGTGTGTGTGTT